GTGTAGAGTGTCTTTTAAATATATTTCGTCATGAAGAATCTGAAGCATACTGAAAAGTTGATCATATTTTAGAGGGCATACATCCAGGGGTTTGGGAGCACGTTACATAATACATCAGGAAAATTTTAACATTCCATTAAAAAAGTACATGCATCCTTTTCGTCTTCTTTGATTCACTACAGTTGAGAGGGAAAAAAAGAACTTTGTTTCTCTGTATTTCTATATTTTAAAGATTATATATGATTTTATATCATAATCTGTAACTGAAAATATAATTTGCTGGGGAGTTGATATTTAGGTGTTTAATTTTAAAACTCTCACAGAAATGTGTTGGTCATTTTTGGTGTTTGACATACAGAGAGAATGACAGCTCTGTTTTGATCTTTAAATGGTGTAGGTCTTTGTGGATCCCCTTACGGTAATTGACATGGAGTTCATTGCCAGCACTTTGTTTCCAGCAGTCGACAGAAACATGGTGAAGAAGATGGTTGCTTTCAATAACCAAGTGAGTCTTCACTTGTTATACGTTGCTCTTTGTTTTCCTGGCTGTTTGCACCAGCGTTCTCTCAGCATGGTTATCTCAAAATCTAGTGTGTCCTAGACGGAGGACTACTTATTTTCAGTGTGAGGCTAGCTTTATTTGAAGCATACAGTAATCACTTCTGAATCGTGCATACCAATACCAAGGAATTCCTGGCGTTTGGAAACGGAGTTGAGAGGAGACATCTGAATTAAACCTGTTGACTTCGGTTTGCAATGACGTGCATTTCTAGTGCGATGGTAGTACTTACTGAATTTAGTGTTGGCAGTGAAACAGGTTTCCTATTAAGAGTATTTTCTTTCTAGGTTGATCATGAAGTGACTGTTGAGAAGAAATGGGGACAGAAAGGAGGACCCTGGGAATTCAACCTCCGGGACCTTTTCCGCTGGTGTCAGTTGATGCTGGTTGATCAGTCCCCTGGGTGCTACGATCCTGCTCAGCACGTGGTGTTGGTCTATGGTGAGCGGATGAGAACCAGGGCAGACAAGGACAAGGCGAGTTGTGGAGCCCCTCTTCCTGGTCTTCTCCATCGGAAAGTTGGCTTCTTAGAGAGGAAGAAGAGCCTACTAACAGAAGTAGAACCAGGCCCCGTGGGACTGCTCTCAAGTTCAGGGAACCGACCACACGTTCACCTGTTTGGGGTCTTGTAGTTTAGAGTGGCGTGCATTGGGCAATGCCAATTCTCTTCTCTCACTTGTGTTCTCATTGAAAGTTTCCACAGCAAATCTGGGTTCTCGTGTGATGATTCCTACACAGATTGACTACCAGCATGGGTCACATTTCATGTAATGTGTCAGACTTCTTAAGTTTGTTTGGGTTGCTCCACTCATGGGGCTTTTCAGGGCTGTTAGCTTTTCGAAGTAGTTTTCCTCTATCCCAAGGTGCCTCTGAGTGGCCTTAAATTGCCAACCTTTCCACTAGTAGTTGAGTATTTCATCATTTTTACACTCAGAAACTGTGCAAGAAGCATCAACCGTACTAAAGAGAGGCACACTCACCCACCCACTCACCCTCTTCCCTTGTTGATTCCAATTCATAGTGACCCTCTAGGACAGGTTCAAATTGCCCTTGTAGGGTTCTCAAAGCAGAGCACCTCGTCTTTCTCCTGTGGATTCAAACTGCTGGCCGTACACGGTTAGCATTCCAAGAAAGGCTAGTCTGTATTTATTAGGAAACTAACAGATCCTTAGTCGTAAATAAAAGGCCGTGTCACACCGACTTGTCGTGTATGGAGCTACAATGATTTGTGTGCTATGCGTTGAGCTCTCTCGAGCTTCCTCCCACTGATTGTCTCCCAGGGGTGCTGTCAAGATGTCTCTCGGATGAGGCTCTCGGTCAGAGCTCACGAGCGCGGGCGCCAGAGCTAGCCCTCTGACCTTGTCTCATATTCCTTCTCTGGCACCTTTTCCACTTAAAACTGTCTTAATTAAAATTAAATCTGATCCTCACATTAGAAGCTGTAACCTGTTGTATCCAGAACCTAGGCGGACCCAACCAACTCCTTTGTTACCTGTGCGTGACTTTCCATCTGTATTAGGAGAAAGTTTCCAGCTAGTATTTTCAACAGTGTTTTGTTGCAGTGAATTTACATGCTATCACCTCGTATTCTAGCTTATTCATCCACTTACAATTTTTGGTATTGTGGTCCAACATCCAGTTGTTGGGCAACTGATGTTGGTCAGGTGATAGATTATTGTAAGAGGAGGAAGGCGTTTTATCGCTCCTACAATTCAGATTTACTGTAGTTAACCAGATAGGTGTTTTCTGAGGTGGGGAACATCAGGAAGAAGACATTAAAGGAATAATAGAGTATTTAAAAGTTGGGAAGTTTTAGGTGAATTGATTTTGATTTTATAACGCCAAATAAACCTAGCTGGATTATGGAAAAAACAAAAACCAAACTCACTGCCATCAGGTTAATGCTGACTCACAGTGTCGCCTGTGGGTTTCCGAGACTGTAATTATTTACGGGATGCGCGATTTCTGACTGCTGACCTTGCATATCTCAGCCGAACGGCAAACGCCATACCCCCAGAGCTCCCGATGAGTGCTCTTCTTGCCAACTCTTGAGGAGTAACAGGGTGCCCTGGGGGTGGTGTGGGTTATGCAGTGGGCTTCAGACTGCGAGTTGAGTGCTGTCAGCCCAGCAGCTAATCGTCAGGAGAAATTTGAGACCCTCTGCTCCCATAGAGATGACGGCCTCACAAGCCCTGTGTGTCCCAGTGAACTGGACAGCCGTGGGCTTTTAAATGCTTTTTTAAAACCAGTGGCTCACGGTGTTGCATGTCTCCTAAAAAAACAATCATTCTGAAAGGTTGGGCTAAGAATTTGGTGTGTGATAAGTGTTTTGATTGTATTGTCTTCTTCCTTCAGGTCATTTCTGTATTCAGGGATGTGTTTGGCTCAAATTCCAGCCCGTATGTGGGGACCAGACTATTTCACATCACTCCCTATGATGTACAGGTGAGGAGAGAGGGACCCTCTGTGAGTCTTCTACAGGTCTCTCTGGTCTTTCCTGTTCAATCCCAGACACGTGTGTGAAATCTCCCTGGCATGTCTTTTCAGCTGGGCTACTCAGTTCTTAACCGCCGCAGCTGTGCTCCTCACCCGTCCCGCCGGCCTCTTTCGCTCTTGCACCAGTCTTTACAGTCCCTGGAGTCGATCATGAAGTGTGTGCAGATGAGCTGGATGGTCATCCTCGTGGGGCCGGCCTCTGTGGGCAAGAGCAGCCTGGTGCAGCTTCTGGCACAACTTACTGGCCACACGTTGAAGATCATGCCAATGAACAGTGCAATGGACACTACTGAGCTTTTGGGCGGATTTGAGCAGGTAACTGGTCTGCCTTCAAACTTTCATGCTAATAACCCCCCTGGTCTGATTGATGGTTTCCTGTGTGGGTGGTGACTACAGAGCCTTTGACTCTGGCCAAGGCTGTGATGAGTTCATGTGCTCTGGAAATTTGCAGGTTGATCTTACACGCCCTTGGAGGCAGCTGCTAGAGAAGGTGGAGGGCACTGTAAGGGCCCTGTTAAGGGACAGCCTCCTTATTAGTGCTGATGATGCAGAAGTAGTGCTACGGGCCTGGAGTCACTTCCTTCTGACCTATAAGCCCAAGTGTCTTGGAGAAGGCGGCAAAGGTATCACGATGGAGGTCGTCAGTAAGCTGGAAGCTGTGTTGCTGCTTGTGCAGCGACTCAACAATAAAATCAACTCGTACTCCAAGGCAGGTGCGTGTGCTTGCATGGGTGGGTCAGACACTTGTCAGATCATGTCCATCTGCAGGGGGTGCCTATAGAGGTGGAATTCATACCCGTCGTTCAGAAAATTCATTTCATGGTATTAATCAAAATCAAAACCTACCAGTCTCTGGGTTAGAAAGTCAAATGAAGGGGAGGTGAAGTAGTCCACACTGGTGAGCCTGAAGAAGCAAGCAGGGATGACAGTGCTGAGCTGCCTGGTTCAGTCTGGGCATTTCACTAGGCCACTTGTTTGTGGACCCCTATTTTCTGTTGGCTTGTTTTAAAATTGTTACTTATCTTTAAGGAAATTGAGAGTATTAATATTGTGTAGAAAGTACAAGAGCCCTCCACTCAGAGTTGAGAGACCCTGGGAGCTGCTTGGGTCTCCCCTCCTTGCTCTGCAGTCTTGAAAGCCCTGGGCAGGCAGTCACCTGGCTTCCCTTCTCTGTTCCTGTTTCGGGTTGTTCAGGGTGTGAAAGCATTGTTTTGAGCATTTGCCCCGTTTTCTAACTGCTAACAGTGGAGTGTTGAGTAGAACATTTATTTATTCCCTCCTAGCTAGAAGGAGAAGTTTGACATATATTAATTACATTGTGAGTTGCAGAAAGGTCATAAAACAATTTCCAATAAAAAGTTCATTGACAAACTTCCAGGGAAAGGTGATATAAACGCTGGAAGTCCCAAAGAGGCAGTGAGTCTGTGTCGTCTGTGCGGCCCGGTGGTTCCTGTGTCCCATGAGACGTTGCTCTCAGGGAGGCAGCTGAGCAGCCGTGGTTGCGCCCACCAACAGCTCTCCATGCTCCTCCTGCCCCTTGAGGACTGAAGCAGAAGCCTTTCCCTCATCCTAGAGCAGCGGTTCTCAACCTGTGGGTCGTGACCCCGGTGGGGGGTGGGGGTGAGGTATTGAACGACCCTTTCACAGGGGTCGCCCGATTCATAACAGTAGCAAAATGACTGATGAAGTAACAACGAAAATAATTTTTTGGTTGGGGGGCGGTGTCACCACAACATGAACTGTTTTAAAGGGTTGCGGCATGAGGCAGTGTGAGAACCACTCCCCTAGAGTGAACTCTCAGGAGCACTGGTGGCATATTGGGTACTCATTAGGTTGGTAACTGCAAGGTCAGCAGTTTGAAACTACCAGCAGCTCCCGGGGAGAAAGATGAGGTTTTCTACTCCTGTAAAGAATCAGATTCTCAGCAACCCACTGGGCTAGTTCTACCTTACCCTAAAGGCTCGCTATGAGTCAGGATTGACCCGATGGCTGTGAATTTGAGTTTCTCTGAGAGAGAGAGAACTCTCTCAGTAACTATTCATTAGAAAGTACGCCCTGCCCCTAAACCCGTCTTTTACTATTTAAACAAACACAGCTCCTTTTACTTAACTCTGGAAAAGCAAGTTGGGCCGGGGCTTTTTGTATTCCAATAACAAATGCCCAGTGGGTTGAGTGTCTTGATGTTGAATTTAGTGTGTGTGCTTGGGGTGGGGGGGTGTCCCGTCCCATTGCAGAATTTGCCAAGTTGGTGGAAGAGTTCCGGGGCTTTGGGAAGAAGCTCATGCAGTCAGCCAGTGGCCATAGCCACGGCACGTTTGAGTGGGTGGACAGCATGCTGGTTCGTGCCCTCAAGTCTGGGGACTGGCTTCTGATGGACAATGTTAACTTCTGCAAGTAAGAACCAGAGAGAATCGTAAGCAGACCAGACTGCAGTTTGGGATATGCCGGTAAACCGAGAAAGCCCTGGGGAAGTTGTGGCGTTTTTAATCCACCGTATTTCTGAACCAGAACCACAGCTTCTTCTGAAGCTGAACAGAGAAGGCTATAAAACCTAATCACTTTCCAAACAGTAGCCCCCTCTGAGTTGGGGCCTTGTAATGTTAGTATCTGTCACTAGTATCTGGAGCCTTTTGAAAGGGGTGAGCTGTCATAGAGCAGGCATCAGTGAGCGCAGTTCACCTGGGTGCCACTTCACACCATGAGGAAAGGAAAAGGCCCTGACCGTGCACAGCACACAGGGAGCCACTGCCTGTGAGAGATGACCTTCTCTTCTGATAACTCTTCTCTGAATGTTGTGCGTAAAAATTCAGTTGCCTTTAAATCAATTTTTTAATGTTTGGGTGCAAGGGAAGGGACAAAAGAGATAGAAGAATAGTTCTTGGAAACTTTGATCATTTTCTTTCATTCAACCAATATTTGTATGTCCTCCCGGAGAATGAAATCTGGGCTGTGCGCCTGGGACGGAAGGAGGAGCCTGCCTTGGGGAGAGACCACGGTTCCTTATGGGAGAGTGGGTCCTCCTGAGAGGAAGCTGGGCTAGGAGCTGTGGGAGGTCCCCGCAGGGAGAAGTCGGGGCAGCGCCAACAGGCCGGTCTGGTCACAGATGAACTCCCTCTTGCAGCCCGTCAGTGTTGGATCGTTTGAATGCTTTGCTTGAGCCTGGAGGCATCCTCACGGTTAGTGAGAGAGGAATGATAGATGGAGCCATTCCCACGATAACGCCAAATCCAAATTTCAGGTATTTATGTCTCTGCAGCATCTTCCTGAGAATCTGACAGCTTCTTTGGTGGAAGTGGGCATTCAGCAGGGCTTCCTTTTTTTTTTTTATGGTACACAAAAATGTTTATTAGAATAAAATTACATGGATTATATCCAAAATTAAAATTATTTCACATCATATGGAGGCTTTATCTCCATTCGCTTTTTAAACATTTTATAGACTATGCTTTAAATAATTTGCACACCTGTAAACAAATCTTAGATTTCCAAAGATTCAATGTCTCTGAGCTATTGAACATCAAAATTTAGGGATTGCACTAAATATGTCTGCAAAATTTTGCCAAGAAAAGAAAAGTAGATTAAAATAATTCACTTGACATGAGGTTTTAAGTCATGAAAAGTTTTTTAGTAGCAAACATTACCAATGCTGAGATAAGATTAAAAAAATCATGGCTAATCCACTTAAGTGTTTGCATACCTACGTTATTTTTTAATGAAGAATTACCACAATTTCTTATTAGAAAAGGAGGCAATTATCTGATTCCACCAAGATCTGAGTACATTCTAAATATTCATTCAGCAGAGAAAAGAAAAAGGTTACAAACACTCTTAACCCTACCAAATGGGAAGAAAAAAAAAAATTAAGATTAAGACCAACATTTCAAGCTGCCTTTTGGAAAATAAATTTAAAAAGAGGTAGATGGTTAAATATTAGTGGTGAACTTACTCAGGTGAGTAATTTTTGTCTCGATACTGATTCAGCAGGGCTTCCTTGTGTGTTATAATCATGTGCCATGTCAGAAGCATGCTCACCCTTTCATCGATGTAGTCAGAATCTGCTGTTTGCCAGGCACTGCTAGGCTTTGGGACCCGTGTAAAAGTAAACAGGCAGGCTAGGTTTCTGCCTTGGTGGGCTGATCACACTGTGGAAGGGGCATAGGTGGGAGAGAAACGAGTGGATCACATAATCCGAGAACGAGAAGGTTTCCCAACAGCCATAGCAGCTCGAGAGGAAAGTAATTGGAGGCCGGTGGGTTTAGAGGCTATTTCAGATTGTGGCACTTGGGCCCCTCCTGAGATCAGTTTTCTGAGGCGCGGGGAAGTCACCGGAGGATTTTGAGCAATGGAAGGATGCTGTAAAATGCATCTGCCTCTACAAAATTCCACTTGCTGTTTAGATATGACTACTCACATCAAATTTCAGAAGGTTGTTTGCTTGTGTTTCATTGACTATGCAAAGTCATTCGAATGTGTGGAGGATCAAAACAAACGATGGATAGCCTTGAGAAGAATGGGAATTCCAGAATGTTAACTGTGTCATGCAGAACCTGCATGTGGTTTAAGAAGCAGTTGTGCAAACAGAGCAAGGGCATGGTGTAAATCAGGAAAGGTGTGCATCCGGATTATATCATCTCACTATACTTATTCCATCTGTATGCTGAGCAAATCATCAGAGAAGCTGGATTTTATAAAGAAGAAGGCTGCATTAAGATTGGAGGAAGTCTTATTAATAACCTTCCATATGCAGATGAATTCAAAGTGAGAAGGACTTGCTGATGAAGTTCAAGGACCGCAGCCTTCATTATGGATTACAATTTAACGTAAAGAAAACCTAAATCCTCACAACTGGACCAATGTATGACATAATGGACAGAGAAAAGGTTGAAGTAGTCAAGGATTTCATCCTACTTCGATCCACAATCAGTGCTCATGGAAGTAATAGTCGGGAGATCAAATAACTCATTGCATTGCGTAAATCTGCTACATAAGATGTCTTTCAAGTATTGAAAACAAGGATGTTACTTTGAGGACTAATGTACATGTGACCCAAGCCATGGTATTTTCTTTTCTTTTTTTTTAATAATCATTTTACTGGGGACTCTTACAACTCTTGTTACAATCCATCCATCAATTGTATCCAACATATTCATATATATTTTCCATCGTTCTTTTCTAGACATTTACTTTCCATTGAGCCCTTGGGATCAGCTCCTCCCCCCTTTGTGGCCTCTTGATAGATTGTTATATTCAAATTTCACACCGACCGCTGTCTCCCTTCCCCTCTGGTTTCTGTTGTTCTTCCCCTGGATGGTTATGTGCCATTCATTGTGATCAGTGCCCCCCAACTCTCCCCCGCTTCCCCCTACCCTTTTGGTATCTCTATTCTCATTCCTGTTTCTGGGTTCCATGTGTTGTGAGTTTTATCTCTTGCCTATCTATGTATATGCTCCCGTCTAGTCTAGATTGGGAAGCGACACTGGAGTTATGGGAAGCGGCACTGGAGTTATGATGGGGGGGGGGGGGGTGAGTAGGCTTCCAGGGAACAGAAGTATGTTGAGTGACCAATTAGTGCTCTACTGCACCCTGATGCACTCACTCCCTCCCTGTGACCCCTGGGAGGGGGATGTTCCATTGTCCATAGATGGGCTTTGGGTCTCTGCTCCAACCCCCCTCCATTCTCACTAATGCATTTTTGTTTGTTTACTGTTTGTTGTGAGTCTTCTGATGCTCATTGTCCAGTCTCGATGATACTGGCTGGTATGCTTCCTCCATGTGGGCTTGTTGCTTCACTGTTGGATGGCACTGTATCTCTTAATTGCCAGGCACCTCCTCTGTCTTCACCACATTTGCCATGGTATTTTCAGTCACCTCATATGCACATGCAAATTGGATATTAATAAGGAAGACAGAAGAAAATGGATGCATTTGAATTATGGTGCTGGTGAAGAATGTTGCCGGTATCACAGACTGCCAAAGGAACAAACAGACCTGTTTTGGAAAAAGTAGAGCAAAAATGCTCTTTAGAAGCAATGCTTGTGAGACTTTGTCACCTGTACTTTGGGCATGTTTTCAGGAGTGACCAAGCCCTAGAAGAGGTCATCATGCTTGGTAAAGTAGACGTTGGCGGATAAGAGGAAGAGCTTCAACGCTATGGACGGACTCGGCAGCTTCGATGGCGGGCTCAGATAGATATAAGCGCAGTTGGGAGGAGGGCGCAGGCCCGGACAGTGCCTGGTTCTGTTGTATGCAAGGGCACTATGAGTGCGGGCCAACTCGAAGGCAATGCTAACAACTTTCACATTTAAATTGATGTAATGTTTTAGCTTCTTACTGTCTGGCTCGCCGCATCTCCAGTGCTCACCTAAACACACTTCCCTGTAGTTTCTGGCCACTGGCGGATTGGGGAGTGCAGTCCTGGAACAGCCGCAGTGCTACAGAAAACTCATTTGCACTGTGCACCTTTTGAATCTCTGTGACACATAAACTTGCGATGGGAGCAAAGGAGCCTAGGCATAAGCACGGTGTCGGAATGGAAAGTAGCCGCCAGGCCAGAGATGATGATAACCAAAGGCAGGTTGCATTTGCCAGGGAAGTTGTTGCTTGAGAGAAAGAAAAGAAACAAGAATGACATCGGTGCCTTTGGCTTGGGTAACGGTGTAGTCAGTGCCATTCAGTGAGAAAGGAAAGGCTGGCAGATGGCAGTTGCTGGCAGTCCATTAAGGCCTGTCAGACAGCCAGGGAGCAGTGACTAGGTACACTCATTGTTTAGAGCGATATGTGACTCCCCCTTTTTGCTCTCGGTAGCTGATGAATTCATGCTGCATTCTTTGGGGAATGTCAGACAGTAGGGATTTTTAAATTCTCAGATAGATGGTCTTTAGGAAAGTGGGTTTGGAGGAACTGGTTTGCTGTAAGGATGCACTTTGGAAAGGAAAAGCCAGAACACAGGTAGTGCTGCTGCCCTTGAGTGGGTGGTGTTGCCCTACCTCCTGGTGCGCACTGTAGAGGAGCCACCTAGCGTTTGCCTGGAGCTCTTGTCCCTGAGCAGCACCGTTGGCTGCACTGTGATTTAATTTCTCTCTCTCTCTCTCTCTGTTGCTAGGCTTTTTCTCTCACTGGATCCTGCTCATGGAGAAATATCTCGAGCCATGAGGAATCGTGGGCTTGAGATCTACATTTCAGCAGAAGGGGATGGGAGCATCCCAGACGAGCTGGATTTGAAAGTTCTGCTGCACAGCCTTGGGTTGGTGGGGGACAGTGTGTGCAACACCCTCTTGGCGTTGCACACAGAGACCCGAGGTGCCGTTGTAGGTGAGGAGCTTGACTTCTGGGCCCTTGCAGGGTTTTAGCCTCGTAGAAATTTATATACGATTCCAGTTGACTACTGGTTCTAGAGTTCTTGCATTTAGTGGACACAAAATAGAAATTTCCAGAAAATCCTGTTGACAATGTAGGCGTCTATTAGAGAGATTTGGTTTAGCAGATCTGGGTGAACCAGTGGAAGCAGATTTCAACAGCTCTCCAGGCAATAATGGGACCCACGCCGCACCTTGAAGGGCAGTGCTTTGAGCGGTGAGGCCCATGAAGACAACCCCACATCCTTTATGGACATCACTTAGCCTCATGAAAGAGGAATAAAGAGGAAACTTTGAGTTGTTTAAAGCGTTGACTTGATTGTTGAAAAATATAAGAAAGAGAAATAATAGCAATAAGCAAAACAGTTTATTGAGTAAATACTATGGGTTATGTAAGAATCCCTGGTGGCGTAGTGGGTTGGACTCTGGGTTGCTAACTACAAGGTCAGTAGTTCAAAACTACCAACTACATGAGGCTCTACTTCCATAGAGTTACAATTTTGGAAACCCTTTGGGGCAGTTCTACCCTGTCCTGTGTGGTTGCTGTGTGTTGGAGTGGGCTTGATGGCAGAGGGTTTGGGTTTTTGGATGTTGGGCACAGTACTAGTTCTCACATCAGTTCTGCAAGGCCTATCTCATTTTACAGATAAGGCTCAGAGAGACTGAATTTCTGGTCAGAAACTCAATCGGGATTTCAGAGCAATGGCCACTTAGGAGGACTTGCTCATTTTACCACCCTTGGCGCCGGTCAGTACTGGATGGAGGATGTATGATGAGGGCTTATCGCATCTGTGAATGAGAGGTCACTTAGAGCCTGCAGGCCGCAGGCAGGCAAACAGACAGCGGGAGAAAACGAGAGAGGGAACCTGAATGTGTCCCCATGTCCACTGTGCCTGGAACCAGACTGTGGATGAGCTGCGGGGGAGTTTGAGTCAAAGGTGGAATTTAACCGTTTCGTTGGGGTTTTTAAAAAAAAATGTAATTTCAATTTTTATTAATTTGTTTGTTCTTGAGCCTATACTCGTAAACACACCAGCTCTGCAGATCTCCGCATACAACTCAGTGGCATTGATGGGTTGTGCAGCCATGCTCGCCCTCTCATAACTCGCCCTCCCCGAAGGCCCCACCGACTTGTCAAGTCAGCCCCAAATAGTGACTTGCTCATGGTGTTCACTAGTTAACCTAAACTCTTGGGTGGTTTAGAAAGACTAGGTGCTACTTGTAATTTCACTTTTTAAGAGTATCTGTGGGTAGTCGTTTTAGAGGTGCATTGTTTTTTCATAGGTTCTCCAACCTCTTCCGTGTCAACTCTGATTCAGACAGCTGTTCTCATTGTCCAGTACCTGCAGCGAGGGCTGAGCTTGGATAGAGCCTTTTCTGAAGCCTGCTGGGAAGTGTATGTCTGCTCCCAGCATACACCAGCAAACCGGACGGTACTGCAACAGTGTTGTAATGTGCTCCATTATTAACTAGAAGGAAATGGGTTTTATCGTTGGCAGCATTAATGGTGTAAAAGAGTGAGCCACCGTAGTTTGCTACTATGAGTTCTGCTATCAGGGCACTTCCTTGGAATATAGCTTAAATGTAGAGATCTCGTTCATGAAAAGTATTGGTAGACTTTCACTCAAGGTGTGCGTTCAAGAGTGCAGATGTGGGTTATTGTGCTGTTGGCACAATCACACAGGACCTAGAAAACCAGGAACTACTCTCTGCTAGTTTGGGGGTAATGTTAGCACTTGTATTTTGGTGTGTTTTTGTCTGTTCAGCTTGCCCACGCAGTAGTGGAGAAGCACGTGTCTTCCCTGAGAGCGCATGATGCTTGGGGCAACTCCGTTCTTGCCTTGGGACTGTGGCCAGATTCTCTGCCCTCGGCTCTCTTTGCCGCTGAAGACTCTCACCTCTCTCTAGTCCGCAGTGATGGACAGATCTTGGCCTATTGCCTCAACAGAGTGAGCATGAAAACCAGCAGCTGGACAAGGTCAGTGGAAGCGTGGGCTCTTCTTTTCTCTCGGGCCACTTGATTGTGCTTTGTTCTTGTTGGTAATGGCTGCCCCCAACGTTTACACCAGAGTGTAAAGGGCCCATATTTATCCAGCTGTCATAATTGTACTATTTAGTGTGGCTTCCTGTTTGTTAGCGGTATATTTTAGTTGTCACTTGTGGGGGGCTCATTCTTTCCCCCCATTGCCTCTGTGATCTGATACTGGTATGGTCATTTTCTCAGTTCTTTGGAAAGTAAAAATATCCTAGCAATAACATTGTTCCTTTCAATGAATTTCAGGAGCCAGCCTCTTACCTTGCAAGACTTAGAGAAAATGATGCAATCCTCCAACCCTGAGGGCCTGAAATTCAGTGCCCTGCACGTGGACGCCTGTTGGCTCGATGAGCCAGGTGTGCTGGCGATGGCTGTTCAGTTGCTCACAGAACGAGCAACCAATCAGGATTGGATGCTCAGAGTTAAATGGCTATGTCATTTAGCCAAGAATATACCACAGGAACTTGGTGAGTGGAAACGCTTAATTTGAGTAATGAAGTCATTTGTGTACACTTAGCCCTGCCCAGTGTTAGTGCCTCATCAGCTGTATTGCTCGGTGATTGTGTCCTTTAAGTTACACCTGGGAGGCCTCTTGTCGTCAGCATTTATCTAGGTCTCTAAAAATGTTATTGAATGAGTCTGTCCTTAGAAAAATGTCCCATGAAAAATTCCCCCACTTCCATTTTAGAATCTGTCCATATTACTTTCCAACTCGAAAGAAAAATGGGCTATATTAATGTTATTACTTATGACTTGAACATCTTTTTTCCTACTGTAATGCTGCTGCACAAACATTTTATCTAGGTAGTTGATTTTTGCTCACCCCCTAAATAACACTTTAAAATAGTTTTATTGGCATATAATTTACATATCATACAATTTTTTAAAATCATTTTATTAGGGGCTCATACAACTCTTATCACAATCCATACACATATCAATTGTGTAAAGCGCATTTGTACATCATTCTCAAAACAGTTTCTCTCCACTTAAACCCCCGGCATTAGGTCCTCATTTTTCCCCTCCCTCCTCCATACAATTTAATAATTTGATCAAATTAAGAATTGTACAATCATCACCACATTTAATTTCAGGACATTTTCTTTCTTGTTGTCATTGTTAACTCCCCATTTTCCCCAAGTCCCAGTGTCATGCCCTAGGTAGTAATTAATCCTGTTACTGTCTCTGTGGATTTGCCTGTCCTAGATTTTATGTACAGAAAATAATACAGAACACAGGAAACAAAAGCCCAACAACAGTGACAACAAAGCAAACAAGCCTGAATCAAAAACGAGAGCTGAGATGGTATAAAAAATGAAACATTAAGGGAGATCAAATGATAAGATGTTACATTTTAATCTAAGTGCATCTACCATAATCAACTTTCCAATTCTCTGTGCTAGCAAGGTGCTTCATATCATTGGACTACGGCCAGAAGGGATTCAAGGAGGCTTTATCCATGTGGGACCCTGCAAAGGGATTTGGGGCTTTCCCTGCCATCTAGAGCCATCTCCAAATCGGGTGTTCAGAATTTAAGCACTGATGCCATTCTCTGAATTTGGATTTTATTATTCGTAATCTTTGAATTACCCAGGCTGGTGTGCTTCTTCCATATTGATTTAGTGACATCGCACTTAGATGGCTGCTTGTTTACAAACAAGCATAGATCCCAGGTGTTGTTCCTTCCAGAAGCACCCTCACGACGCGTTACTGTAGCACCATGTCTTTTATTGGTGTCTTCATGAGGACTAGCATTGAGCAGGACCACGTCATAAAGAACCAACTGTTCTCAGATTGGGGCTAGAATGAGTGTGAGCTAAAACCCACCTATATGTCCGTGGTTTATAAATGTCTCTGGTTCACTTTAGGGACATCATTATCATTTTATGATAATGAACATAAATCAACCCCCTGGGGCATAGGCAGTCCTATTGATAGTGTCATTAATTTTGCCAGTGGTATAGAATGAAACACTGTTGAGAAAAGGAAATTATACATACCACAGTATACGAATTGTAAAGATTAAACTCTTAGTCGTTGACTGTACAATATTTACATAAACAATGGGGGTAGTGATAGGGCAAAACTTTCAATAACACTCATTCACTATAGACGAACCATGCGTACCAGACTAATATATGTCATAAGAAAGCAAGAACATTAAAATAGTAAGCATATGTTAGTTCTGGGCCACCATTCATTGGACACTCAAAGCAGGAGATACAAATCACAGTCCAGCCGCCACCACCTTCATAACCTAGGGATAGCTGTCATTTGCTTCTTCTCAACACTAAGCAGTGTTCTCAACCTTCCTAGTGCCGCAACCCCCAACCAAAAACTTATTTTCATTGCTACTTCATAACTAGTTTTGCTACTGCTATGAATTGGGTGACTTCCTGTGAAAGGGTCGTTCGCCACCCCCCCCACGGGGTCGAGACCCACAGGTTGAGAAGCCTGAACTGGGGAGTTTCAGCCTTCAGTCCAAGGGAGTGTGCGTCAGTTCCTTAAGTCTGCCACAGGTGTGCTTTTGCCATAGAGCCTAGTTTGCTTAGTGGGGTGTCCATGTCGAATTCTTCTGGTGTGGCCTGTGAAGGATGTTGTGCCCCTTGAAAGGACAGAGTTTAAAATCCCAGTAGTCAGTTCCACATGGCCTGGGTCACCAAGGGCTGGGTAGAAACTAGGTCCGAGGTGTCCAAGTAGGTACAGAGTCCTGGGCATCTTCTCTCCTTGGGCTCTACACTAAGTATTGTTGAGCGTTCCCCCCTCCCCTGACCCTGTTTACCCACCCTCTGAGAAAGACATCCTCCCTCCCACCCCCATCTTGACTCAAAAATTTCCAGTAAGGTTCTCGTACCACTCTTGAAGGAGCGTCCATTGATGTGGGGTGACTTTAGCACAGTGTTGTATGGCTTATCTGGGTAATTTTGCTTTGGGAAAATCCATTTCCACTGAAAATGTCAAAAGATTCTACTCTTACCGTATATACTGAAGTATAAGCCGACCTAAATATCAGCCGAGACACCTAATTTTACCACAAAAACTGCATTAAAAATATGCTGGAAAACTCAACTTATACTTGAATATATACAGTATTTCATTTCTAGTGCTCCAAGTTAATGCTCTGTATTTTGTAGTATTTTATTTTTTAATCGTTTTATTGCGGGGTCTTACAGCTCTTACCACAATCCATACAAACATCCATTGTGTTAAGTACTTTTGTACATAGGTTGCGGTCATCATTTTCAAAATAGTTTCTACGTGAGCCTTTGGTATCTTTTGTAGTATTTTTCATTTTTAAGACAGGAAGCAGCAATATTAACCTGGGTTGTAGAAGTATAGGACATGACATTTGTCGTAGAAGCTGCTGACTGCAGTAATTGGGTTTACACCAGCCTCCCTCTTTCCTGAGAACCTAGTGAAGGCATAAATTATTGAGTGAGAGAGAAAAAAATTGAGTGAGTAGCACATGGGGTTATTGATTCAGATAGACATGAGACAGCTTGTGTATATATTCTGATCTGTGCTCTCTGGTACTTGAGCCACTAGCCACAGGTGGCTACTAAATTTTCACATCTACCAATGAAAAATGAAATATGAATTCAGTCCCTTAATTGCACTGGCTGCGTTTCAGGTGTTGAGGAATGCTTGCTGCTCTGCCTGCCAGCCCAGCGTTAGCGCAGTTCCGGCATTGTGTAAGCTCACTTGTACTTCTCCTTCCTCCACAGAGTCGATCCAGATTCACTTGGAAGCCAGTGCTACATCTCTTAGGACCTTTTACTCGAATTCTCTCTCAGCTGGGGTCAGTCACGTCATCAAAGTATTGCAACCCAACATAACAGGTACTGCACCTACTTGGGACGTCTCGCCCTCCCCACTGTCCTTTGAGTTCTGTGGGGGAAAGACCTTCAATCACCCACCAGCACACCGTGTTTGCAAGCACGCTCAAGTATACACAGGCAAACTCTGCTTCCTTGCTTGAAGATGTTTATTTGTCCTTCAAATTTCAGAAGAGGCCATTGATTGATAGGCACACCATGGAAAGACTATGGGAGCGTGTAGGCTGGCTCTGGTCCCAACTTTGCCACAGACGACTTCTGAAGGCCGAAGTTGATACATGAGGGAATTAAACTCCTATTCCCCCACCCCACCCCCCACACACGCTGTCTACTTATAGCATGGTGAGGTTTATTCTGTTACCAGGTTACATTTTGAACCATGAGAAACAGACAGGATCCATTTCTGCAGAAAATGTAAAACCTTAGTGATCAAAGTTATACAGCCTTATGACAAAGTTTTAGAACCCATAATGATACAGTAACTAACCATCTAAGCGATTTAATCAGGTGATGTGTTCAAGATTTCCTTTTTAAGAAGAAATAATGGAGCAAACTTTTTATTGCTTATATTTACTAGAACAGAATACTATAAATTTGATGGAAGCATGGCATTACTGAGGAAAATTGGAAGTTTCTGTCTCAGTTATTTTTCCCGGCCCCATCTTCGTGTGGTATTAATCAAGATACATTGGCCATTGGGCTTGGGAAGCCATGCATGACGCCTGTGCTGGTGACCCAGGGACCTTAGGCACACTGCCGGTAATAGGGTGAGTGACTGGAGAGAAGATCAACAGAGAGCGAGAACTACTGTGCTTTTCAGATTGTAACTGAACGGAATTTTGGCTTTGCAGTTACAGGAGGATTGTGGGCTTGGGAGTACGGTTGTCGAGGGAGCAGCAGGTTCCCTTTTCAGCCGATACCTCTTGACCACTGTAGGAACACATGAGCTTGGCCTCACTTTATTGGGTGCTTCCTTTCTGTATGATGCTGTCCTGGGTAGGCCCTTGTGTTCTGGTAGGTGGTTTTTAGAACTTCAGTGGACCGCTGCTCCATCCTGCCCAGCTCCCTGGAATGCTGTAGTGTTTCTACTGTGCTCCTCCCTTGAGTTTTCACAGTCTTTGGAATGGGTCAGGGTCTTTTCTGCTTCTTTGCAAGCGGTTCCGTGTTTGAGCCAGAGGAGTACGAGCTGCAGTGCGAGCCACAGGATGGCAAAGGAATGGCTTTTGAGTGAGCTCCTCTGGAGTTGCTTATCTTTTTGTTAGCAGTGTTGTTGTGAGTAATAGTGACAAAATGTGTGACTAAACTGGTGGATTCTTTTCCGATCAGTAGTGGGACCTGAGCAGGGGAATGGCCTGGTGGGAATGTGGATGCCTTTCTATCATGCGCTGGAATGCGTTGTCAACACTACCAGATAGGTTGCATCTGGAAGGGAGATCGTGTGCGAGCCATCGAACCCACTTTGCCAGCATCCAGCAACGTGGTTTTCCTGTCCTGCTGCTTCCCCACAAGGACCCTATGCGGTCAAAGTGACGTAATGAAAACACTCAACTGAGGCTTGCCAGGCTAGGGTTCTACTACCAAATGCTATTTTGTTTTTGTTTTTCACCAGATGAATATGTGGTCCCCCTGGACCCCCGGTGGAATATGCAGGCTCTGGACATCCTTAGGAATTCCATGGACTTTGACCCACACACAGACCAGCCGGAGCAGCTCTTTGCTCGTTTAGAATCTGTTGCGAACAAGTAGGTGAAGCCTGCCGCTCGGAGGGCTGCTTGCCTCCCTGTGCGTTCACGTGCTGCAGCTCCGGGGCTGAGTGTCAGTACAGCTTCTGGGGCGAACCTGAGAAGTGGTGAGGCCCGCGAGAGACAGAGGTCTTCAATACCACTCCTCCCCTTGCACCCTGCACCCAGTGAATTCATTCTGCCCATGTGTGGGTTCTCGAGAATCTGCCGTAGCCTGAGTGGTGGGACCCGTCAGTCAGAGCTGAGCCTTTATTGGACAGCAGCGTGACCAGTTTCCTGTGTGTGTCCCCCAGCAGCTCCTCGTGAGCTCTTTAAACCACGTGGCCTTTCCTCAGCCATCAGTCTGCCGTGTTAGTTTCTGTCCTCAGAAATGAAAGTTGAAGAAACACACGCGCATGAAAATGTACCCAATAACCATTGGACGCCATCTTTCTCTTCCGTCTCTAATGGCCAGCAGTAGTTTTCAATGGCTATCAGTGAAACACTTTTTGAAAAACTTCAACGAAATATAACATAGATACAGAAAAGTGCACTGTTAAGGAGTAGGGGGCATGCAGTGGGCTTGGAAAACCTCATGGAAAAATGAAAGGACAAGATCATGGAAGTTTACCACACCCCCTCATCTTGGGGTTTGGCAACTTTCCACACAGAAACCCCATTTGTGCAAACATCCCAGAAGCCCCCTGTGCTCTTCCCAGTAGTTCCCCTGCCTCCTCCCCACAGTCGTTTCCCAGTGGCCAGTTTTAAGAATAAGCAGTGCCGTCTCTCGGCACCAGTGGAGCCTGGCAGTGTCCCAGACCCCAGCCACCTCACCCACCCTGGTTGTTAGCACTCTCACCCCCATTCCTCTGGTCCAGAACTTGCCAGCAGGGCAGGGGTGGCTGGCAGGGGATGGGAGCTGACAATCCAAGGTTCCTAGCTTTCAGCAGGTAGTGGTTAGGGTTGGAAAGTGTTATTAACTAGTAACTATTTGTTTCATTGTTTTATCTCATTCTAGGACAATCATCTATCTTGACCGGGAAAAACGAAGTTTTACTGAAGCCAAATTGGTTTCTGTGGGTGGCAAAAAGTTAAGAAATAGTGTTTTGAGAATGTCCTTTGAATTCCATAAAGGTATGACCATCTTTCTAATAAAGCATCCCAGCGCGTGGTTTGCGGAAGTGGCGAGGCTGCTGCCATTTTACTGATCGAGTTTTAATTGCGTGGCCTGGTTCTAAACACGTCTCCAACTCAGTAATAAAGGCTCACATTTGTTGGGCATTTCCTCTCTGCCAGGTGCTGAGCTTAATACTTATCCCGTTCTTGCCTCCCACCGTTTTAAAAAAATATTTTAACTGCATTTTGGAAAAAGTATACACAGCAAGATCTTTCCAGTTTAATGTTTGCACACGGTGTTCTGTGGGTTTCACCCGCATCTTTACCCCGTGTCAGCGTCCTCGTGACCCTTATCCTGTCGTTCCTTCCCATTCGTGTCGCCTTGCTGCCCCTGACTTTCTCATTCTGCTCTAGAGCACTGGTTCTCAGCCTTCCTCATGTGGTGTGACCCCCCAACCATAAGGTGACCAGATTTTAACATTGGTAAATCGGGACACCATTGATAAAACTCATATCCTGGCAAAATAGCCACATGGCAGCCGAAAACTTGTGCATTCTTTCCAAAAATCGAGACTTTTTAAAAACACCGCGGGATGCAGGACAAATTGTTAAAAATCAGGATTGTTCCGCCAAAAGCGGGACATCTGGTCACCTTACCCAATCATAACATTCTTTCTTTTTTTTTTTCCATAACATTATTTTCATTGCTACTTCATAATTGTAATTTTGCTACTGTTATGATTCGGGCGACCCCTGTGAAAGGGTCGTTTCAACCCACAGGTTGAGAGCCGCTGCTTCAGAGGAACTTCTCCATTTGGTCTCATGTTTCAAACAGCCAGGACCCACGGTGGCACTCTTTACTTTTTAACCAACTTACTGTTCAGTTAAAAGCTGCTACCAGTGGACGGTTTCAGTGAAGGTTTAACAAATATAGGGCGAGCGTCTGCAGACTTTTTCCTGTCTGGATAGAAGAATCCAGAAAGTCTGCATTCCTTGAGAAAGTACAAAGCGTGCGTGTGACCCAGATCATCATCACGCTTGGTAGTGGTAGCCAGTACCATCGAGCTCGTGTCTCAAGGTGTAGTTACGACTACCTCATCGAGACCATTGGTGCTGTCTCCTGGGCCCTTACCTGACTCGTGGATCTCATTAGCTTTGCGTAGCTGTTCCCCGAGGTGGGAAGTATGGTCCCGTGTTATGAACGAAGAAAAGAGGGATAGAGCTGGTCAGATCAGGGTCTCGTCCTAGCAAGTGGCGGAGCCAGAACTTGGAACTTGGGTTTGTTGGCTTGGAAAGCAGTTTGGTCAATCTCTTTCCCTCTCCCTTATTGACGTCTTTGAATAAAACATCGTTTGTGGTATAAAAACTTCAACCTGGATAGAATTTTAAAATGGAGAAAGTCCATCCTTGGCAGCTATTAAATGCACCATATATACTCGTGTATAAGCCGAGTTTTTCAGCACATGTTTAATGCAGTTTTTTTTTTTTGGTTTAATGCAGTTTTTGTGGTAAGATTAGGTGGCTTATGCTCAAGTATATACGGTATGTGTGTACTTAGTTGTTGCTTTGCAACAAATTGCAAAAAATTAAACATACTTGTATAAAATATTCTCTAATTTGTATTTCTCGGTAAGACAGTATGAATGTTTATAGCTGTACTTGATTCATCTGTTAAGTTTAAGAATTAACAAGGATTTGACTTTCGATTTTGTTATCTCAGACAACAAAGTAGTAATTGTCTTTGTGTGGGAAATAGCATTGTTTTATTATATTTTGAAAAATGCTCAGAGATTAATTGAATCTGATGGGATGTTTTACTTTTATTTGTCGACTCAAAGATCCAGAGAGCTGTCACAGCCTGCCCCATGAAATTGTGGTCAATCTTGCTGCATTTTTCGAGCTCTGTGATGCACTGATCCTGCTCTGGGTACAGTCATCCCAGGGGAAGGTGTCTGATGCCACTGTCCATGAGGTGAGGACTTGTGCTCGCTTTTATTTCGCACGCTGGCTTCAATGTTGTTATATATCGAATATTGTTTAAGATATTTAACTATTAATAGTTTTAAACACTCATTTAAAATTATCTTAAGGTATAATTGTCATAATGAAAAGAATTTATTTGAAGTGTACAGTCTCACAGGTTTTGATGTGCACACCACACACACCCCCCCAGGTGGAACTGTTTGACTCACACACATCCACCCCCCCCCCCCAACTTTCCTCTTCCCTTTTATATTCCTCCTTTCATTTCCACCTCCATACCCCAACTAGGCAGCCATTGATCTAGTTTTAAAGGTTAGTTTGCATTTTATATTAATAGGATAATTTAATACATTATATGTGTGTGTGTGTGTGTGTGTGTGAGAGAGAGAGAGAGAGAGGCGGGGGCGGTTCTGGCTTTTACTTCACTGTAGTTCTTCTGAGAGTCATTCATACTGTTTTTTTGTATCAATAGTTTATTCCATTTTATTGTATTAGATGTACCACAATTTGTCCATTCACTTTATAATCAACACCTGGATTTTAACAGTTATACTATGCTTAAATTCTTTTAGAAAATCATTTTCATGTAATGGGTTAAATTGTTTTTTGTATCAAATCATTCAGTAAGCGGGAATAAACTTTTGGTCATAGGAACCCTCTAAATCTTAAAAGTTAACAATGACTCCAAAGAGTGTGTGTGTGTGTGTGTGTGTGTGTGTGTGTGTGTGTGTGTTTATGTTTATTAATATTAACATCTAGCCATCTGAACTGAATGGAAATTTCAAAGGGCAGGTTGAGAGGACAACGCCAAATTTAGTAATGAAATAGGCAAAGACAGAATTAGAAAAGCAGAAGGGAAGAACATGCCCAGCATATCTTAAACTGAAAGAACTCAAGAAAAAATTTAAGCTTGGTGTTGCAGTCTCGAAAGATTTTATGGGAAACGATAGACTAACTCATGAACCCTAAAAAGAGAATGGAAAGCATACACAGAGTCACTGTACCGGAAAGAGCCCGTCGACGCTCCACCGTCTCAGGAGGGAGCAGCAGTGCTGACGGAGTCGGTGCAAGCGGCACTGAACGCATTCGCCAAAGGCAAGGCTCCAAGAATTGATGGAACACCGGTTAGAAACACTGCAACAAGCTGATGCAACACCGGAAGCACTCACCCATCTGTGCCAGGAAATCTTGAAGACAGTACTTGGCCAGCAGACTGGAAGAGATCCATATTTGTATCCATTCCAAAGAAAGGTGACTCAGCAGGATGCTCTAATTACAGATTAATATCATTGATATCGCATGCAAGTAAAATTTTGCTTAAAATCATCCAACAAAAATTGCAGCTGTACCTTGACAGGGAGCTGCCAGAGATTCAGGCTGGATTCAGAAGAGGACGTCGAACAAGGGATATCATTGCTGTTGTCAGGTGGATCTTGGCTCAAAGCAGAGAACACCAGAAAGATGTTTAATTGCGTTTTATTGGCCTTGTCAAGGCATTCAAGCGTGTGGATCATAGCAAACTGGATAATCTGGAGAAGAATGGGAATCCCAGAACATTGGGTTACATGGGTCAAGAGGTCATTTTGGGAACAGAACACAGGAATATACTGCACGGTTTGAAAGGTGTCTGGCGGGGTCATCCCTCTCACTATACTTATTCAAGCTGTAGGTGAGCATATCAGAGAAGCTGGATTATGTGAAGAAGAGTGTGGTGTCGGGATTGGAGGAAGGTTCATTAACAACCTGAGGTATGCAGATGACACCGCCTTGCTAGCTGGACATGAAGAGGGCTTGAGGCTGGCCAGTGAAGAACCAGGACGGCAGCCTTCAGTAGGGAGGACAAGCGTCCTCACAGCTGGGCCTGTAGGGAACATCTTGATAAATGGAGAAAAAATGTTGGAAGTTGTCAAGGATTTTGCCCTGTTCAGGTCCACAATCAATATTCATGGAAGCATTAGCCAAGAAATAAAAAAGATGAGTTTCATTAGGTAAATCTGCACAAGATTTCTTAGAGCAGTGGTTCTCAACCTTCCTAATGCCGCCACCCTTTAATACAGTTCATCATGTTGTGGTGACCCCCCCAACCATAAATTTATTATCGTTGCTACTAAATAACTGTAATTTTGCTACTGTAAGAATTGGGCCACCCCTGTGAAAGGGTCGTTTGACCCCCAAAGGGGTTGCGACCCATAGGTTGAGAACCGCTGTCTTAAAGAGTATTGAAGAGCCAGTGTGTTACTTTTAGGGCTAGGGTGTTTGTGACCCAAGCGATGATGTTTTTTTATTTTATTAAAATCATTTTATTGGGAGCTCTTACAGATATCATAACATTCTATAGTTCAGTCACATAGCAAGTAGTATTGTACAATTACTACCAGTTACTTTCAAAACATTTTCTTTCTTCTTGAACTCCTTGATAGCATCTTATTTCCTATTCCCCCCCCCACAAAAAAAATCTCTGCCCCACTTCAGCCCCATATATTAGGCATTTATTTATTTATTTATTTATTTCCCATATCTTGTACAATCCAGTATATCGCTTGACATACAATTTTGTCGTTTGATCAAGCCATGGAATTTTGAGTGGCCTCATGCATGTGAAAGTTGGACATTGAATAAGGTTGAATAAGGAAGGCTGAAGAAGAATGGGTGTGTTTGGATTGTGGTGCTGGATAAGAATACTGCAAGTACCACTGTTAAAAGGACAAACAAATCTGCCTTTGAATAAGTACAGCCATCGTATCGTGCTCCTGAGAGGCAAGGATGGCAAGAACCTCATGCCCTTTACACTTTGGATGGTTGCCAGGAGAGATCAGTCCCTGGGGAAAGGGCATCATATTTGATAAAGGAGAGGGACAGCGAAAAGGAGGAGGGCCATCAAGGAGCTGTACTGATATGGTGGCTGCCACAGTGGACTGACGCACAAGAGTAGGTGGGAGGCTGGCATAGCACCACGCAGTGTGTCCTTTTGTGCATGAGGTTACTGTGGGTTGGAAACTGACTTGATGGCACCTACCCAGAACAGGAGCAACCATGAATTAATAGTACATAATAGTAAAATGTTAATTTGGAAAATACTATCACAAACCCATGGCGTGTTAGTATTAAAATATTCTTAAATAAAGAATAACTTTCAAAACAAAAATTAGTGAGAAGAGTTCAATCACTTTAAGATCTCATCAATATCTGACCTACCAGAAAAAACTCTTAAGTCTCTTGCAGTGTTTTTTACAATGAAGTTATGAAGACAATCAGTGTTAATTACTTCCTAGTTAAGCTTGTGATAAAACAAGAATATTTTCAAAGTCACTTTATGTGATCAGGAATATTCTCCTCACAACTCAAAAATCAATAAAGGCTAATTCCAATTTGGAATCTGGGGAGTAAAAAAATATCACGGACTTGTATGCACTGAAGTCCATTGGCCTACTTTGCACTTTGGGTTGTGTGTTATTAGTCATGTGTGTCTCTGGTTGCTGACTAATAAGTGAAGTCTGGGGTGAGGGTCTTTTGCTGGGCGCTGTATGTGAGGCGCTGTGGTCTGCTCTGTTTTCAGATCTTGGGTTCTGTGCAATGGCGGGACCGGCTCTGGACTGTAGCCGACACAGTAAAAGTGGACGCCCCCGGCCTGGCCCTGCTGGCCCTCCACTGGCACTGGGTTTTGAAGCATTTGGTCCATCAGATCCCCCGGCTCCTGCTGGATCATGCAGACAAGTAAGACTCATCATTGCCCTAGTGTCAGTAGCTGCAGGACTGGTGATGGTAGAAGTGAATTTGAATTGGTTTGTGCCTGTAACACATGGGTGAATGTAAATACTATAAAAATGTATGGCCTCTACCCATAGGGCAAAAAAAAAGGTGTAATGCCCTCTCTTACTACCTGCCATTTTTCTCTTAATTTACTACCTTTCTACCCCGCCCCCTGCCCCTTTCCCCTCTTTTAAAGATACTACAAGGAGGTTCAGACTGTTTCAGAGCATATTCAGAATTGCTTGGGGAGCCCGGCCGGTGGCTTCACAGGTGTGAAGAAGCTGCAGAAGTTCCTGGGACGACCATTTCCTTTCAAGGTATGCCCAGAAGCATGACGGGAACACGAAGATGGGACTTTTTCTTTGTCCTAGGACCGTAAAGGCTGTGCGGCATTTTAAACATACTCCTGTAAAATCTAGGGCAATGGGAGTGCACACACCCGGTGTCTCTCTGGACACATGAAAGAAGCCTCAGCTTTCTGCTGAGACTCGTGCAGACTGCTCCGCTGTGCCCGCTCGGTAAAGTAGGCTCTCCTGTGCTCGGCCGTTTCAGGACCAGCTGGTGGCGGAGTGTTTTGCACAGCTGAAAGTCCTCAGCAGAGCCCTTGCTGTCAGGGAGCGGAGGCCGGCCCTTGGGGAGCGTGGATGGCAGGAAGACATCAGTCGTCTCCAGGTGTTTGCTTCGGACCGGACATTAAAGAGGAGTCTCCTGCGGGCCTGGGGGCTGGTCCTCAGAGCTAATATTCTGGAAGATGTCAACCCAGGTACTGTGTTCCGGAGCTCCGCCACGGACAGGTGTTCCGTCCAAGCCTGCCCCCTGCCCCCAAGGCAATGTTTCTTCCCTAGACGTTTTAAAAATAATAATAGTTGCCAAGCCAGAGGGCTAGTGTTCACTTCCTTTGTTTAGTTCAGTTGTAGAATTCTGTAGACATAAACATAACCTTTGATAAGAGGGTAAGCCCAGGTTGAGAAGCAGCTTGCTCTTGTACACTGCTCCTGGAGTCTCCTGACCGCTCTGTTGTAACGCAGCCTGTGTCCTTTTGTTCAGACGAATTGAAGAATCTCGTAACTACCCAGTGCTCAGACCTAAGTGCCAAAGGAATCTCCCTGGGTTTTGTGGAGAAAAAACACAGTGAAGCTGCCGCCCTGTCTCGGCCAGTCTCAGCCTCCTTGGCCCCACTCGTCAGGAGTGTTCAAGTGTGGCCCGCCATGGAGTACCTGGCTATGCTGTGGCAGTACAAAATGATAGCGGATTTCATGACGCAGGCTTGCCTGAGAAGGTAAGCCACCCATTCAGATACTCTCCCTGGGGAGCCTCTTTCCTGGCTAGATTGTTTTTAGCCAAGTGTGTAAACAAAGCACAGAATTGTTTTGAGGGGGATTAGGCAGAGAGCTCAGTTGCCGTTCTGAAAAGCCAAAACTTCCTGAAGAGTCTTTGTCTGTTTTTAACACACCTCTGAAAGTCTTGAGGGCCCTTGCACACCCCCCAGTGGAGCTGCTCATGTGTAAATGAATGTGCTTTAAGTTCTGTGTGGTCGTCTTCCATGTACAACCGGTTTCCAGCAGTTCATTGATGGTCCACTCTTTATCTCGGAAACAGGTCCAGCAAAACTCGGCCTCCCCACCTAGACGAGGAGCTCCCGCAGCACATCACATTCTGTCTTGAGCACACGCCAGTGGCTCCTTGGGAGCTGCGAGACCTTTGGTTCATGCTGCATCATCAGCAGGTAGTCACAGAGCTCAGCACTGTCTGCTGGTCGGGCTTCTCTGGCAGAAGCTGCTTGCCTGGCATTTCATTTCGATTCACAAGCCTCTGCTGCCACCTCTGATTCATCTGACGGATCTTTCAGAGAGAGCTTTGAGTGTTCTTTTGCCATAATGTCCGGGGTACTCCATGACTGGCACAGAATCTTTCATTCTGTCTGGTTTCCGGTTAAATTAAGCTACAGGGTTATCTGTATTTCCTATTTGCTTAAAAATATTCTGAGAGTGTTCCAAATCTCCTTTAATGATAATAGTAACTATTTAATGTGAAAACTGATAACCTTAAGTTGATTCAACTTGATCATTCGGGCAACCTTGAAGTGTTTTTTGATGATGATGATGTTTTTATTTTGCTGATGATATAGTTGTGTAAATTATTTTACTGACAATGTGTCATGCAGCCTCCCATAAGCAGCTCTCACCCTAGTTTTATAACATGGTAAAAGCAACTCTCGCCCTAGTTTTATAACATGGTAAAAGCAGCTCTCGTCCTAGTTTTGCAACATTTCATTTCACGGTGCATTTGTAACATGGTACATAGGTTCTATGCCTTGACCAAGACTACCCACGATGGCGGAGGATCAGCTAGCCTCATGTTGCATGTTGGCTTTTGATGGCTTGCTTTTTATTTTTTTAATCATTTTATTAGGGGCTCATGCAACACTTATCACAATCCATACATACATCAATTGTGTAAAGCGCATTTGTACAT